TTTTTAAAGGACTTTTCGATTTTATTTTTAAAGTTGCCCCCAAATGGCAAGAATAGTATAAATAATCCCCATGTACAATTTACCCGTTTGTGTATAATTTGTCCACTTGTCTATGTGTGCCTATGGGTGTATGTAGTATCTCTCCCTCTGTGTGTGTGTGTGTAGCTATATATACACATGTCCATATGCACATTCATCTAGCTATAGCTATACATGCTGAAGTAAGTTGGAGACGGCACATCCTTTGGTGGTGGAGGTGCTAAGCGCCAGGAGTCCGCTGTACCCTACACACGACAGCAGGAAACACTGCCGGTCCTGCGCCATCCTCAAAGGGTCACCCACACCCTTTTCTTTTACCCCGCGTCATCCCGTGTGTGTTTCCTAAGAACAAAGAGATTCTCTGACATGAGCTGACACGATGATCAAAAAAGCAGGACGTGCGGCCGTCTTATTGGCTAATCAACGGTCCATCTTCGGAGTTGGTCAGTTGTCCCAATATCGTCCATGTCTTTGGGGCTCTGATGACACTTGGCGTTTATTGACTTGCCAGACCTTCTGAGCTCCTTTCCTGTGGAGCCTGTTCTCTCAGCCTTTCTTTCTTTACTTGACCTTGGCGTGTGGAAAGGTCAGGGACAATCATCTTCTGGGATGTCTCAGAATTTGAGCCGGTCTAATGGCCCCTTGGGAGGAAGCTAGGACTGTCTCCTGTCCTAAAGCTCTGTTGTCTCAGACACCCACAGGGCAGTGCTGCTCGGTCCTCCAGGGTCGCTGGGAGTGGGACTGGACTTGGAGCCGAGAGGGAGCTTGAGCAATGCTTCCATGTGATGAGATTGGGCTTAAGCACTGTTCACAGAAGTCATGTCATGCTGGTGCCAAGGGGAACGTGATATCGCCTTGCCCCAGGACGGGTGAGGTGAAGTTCAAGCATTTGGTTACTGTAGCGTCTACTAGCTTTCTCCACTAGAAAGTTATGTTTTCCCCTTTGTAATTAAGAGACATCTTAGAGCAGCGGTTCTCAACCTGTGGGAACTCGCTCTTGAGCGCAGAAAACACACTCAAGTTCACTGCCACCTCCTCGTGGCCCTTCAGGACAGGGTAGCACTGCCCCGTGGGCGGCCCAGGCTGTACCTGTTGAGGAAGGGAAGTCCATACAGCGTATGGGACTGAGAACGGTCAGCGGCGGGGAAGTGTTTGCCACTTGGCCTTGGGCAGCTTATAGCACCACGGAGTCTCAGGCTCTTCAGCTAAGATGAAGGGGTCCCGACCCGAGGGACAGGATGTGCATGAAGCAGGTGGTCCTCACCAGCCTTTTGGCATGTGGTCTATACTCACTGATTTAAAAAGAAACGCAAGAGAGATTCATAGTAAGCTTAATCAGCGACAACTGCAAGTGAAAACAGTGCTTGACAGGAGGCCACTGCTAAGACCCCCCTAAAGAGACGCCCACGGTGAGAACACGGCTGATGAGCCTAGAGAGCCAGCAAGTGGAGTAAGGCTTTGGGGTGACAGGGGTGATGAGGCCAAGGGGTCCAGATCGAAAAAGACTGTTTGGAAATGGCTTGTGGTAGCAAATGCATACAATTCTGCTGGACGTGATTGAACGATGGGATGATTCGCTATATGTATTCTTCCTAATTAATAATAATAAGGAAATTACCAGAAGTCCAAAAGACACACACATGCAGAAAGGTGTCCACTGTGTGACCAAAACTTTCAAAACCATGTTCAGCGAGGGACAGACACCCTTGCCTAATACTCCTCGTAAACAGGTTCTGGGTTTAAATCATTTCTAAAGACACGAGGACATATTAACTATTAAAGAGTCTCTCGGGAAACCACACTCATCTGCTACTTAGAATCTGTGGCCTTCCTCTTTCCCCTGCCCAGTTACCGCCAAGCTCTGCCTGCCACTCCTGCCAGGAGGTGGGTGAGGCTAAAGGCCTGTCCTTCGCAGTAGTGGCCACCCTCTAGCGAGGCCTAGTGCCTGAGCGGGGACTGGAGCCATGGTTCGTCTGTCTTCCCACAGGTCCAGGGTGTGGAAGCCTCTCATGTGAACGTCAGGGGCTTTTCCTTGTGGACACTGCTTTCTCGTCTCCCTCGCACCAAATTCAGATTGAGCCCATCTCTTATCCATTGATTCGTAAATATTTCTGGGCTCCGACTCTGAGCGTACTGGGTAACCCAGTTAGGCATGGAGGAGGAACCGAGGCGATTCGAACCCTCCCTCTCTATTCCCCAGGAGCTTCTAATGAGCCAACTTATGAGCCAGTCACACAGCACGCCAGAGAGCGGCGTGAAATACGAGGTAGAGCTAGCAGGCACTGAGGCTGTTAGAATGGGCAGCCGAGGGACCACTGTGGCGGAGGAGTCAGAGAAGGAAGCCTTCCTGGAGGAAGGGACCATTATGAGACCGTTCACCTGAACCTTGAAGGGTGCCTGCGCTGCTGCTGGGAGCTGGTGGGCCGGGTCCAGTTCATGGGAACCCACATGACAGAGTACAGCTGCTCTAGGGTCTGCTTGGCCGTAATCTTTATGAAACACATCACCAGGTCTTACGCCCACAAAACCACAGGGTGGGTTCGAACTCCTAACCTTGTAGTTTAGCAGCCGAGCTCCTCATTGCTTGCATCCCAGAGCTTTCTTGGATAATCACAGAGATTGGGAGAGGACTGGCAGTCAGAGTGCAATCTGAGCAAAGAGGCAGAAGCCGCAAGGATTGCAAAGCAAAGGGAAAGGCCTGGGTGGTTTAAATAAGGCTCATTCTGGTGCCCCAGGGAGACCTGAGGCCCCTCAGCAACTCCCACACCTAATGCAGGACAACACCATTGACTTCCTGGCCTCCGTGGCAGCCCTGAACCTCGTGCTGAGAGGCACTCTGGAACACAAGTTGAAGTGGACCTTTAAGATCGATGACAAGGACAACAACGGCTGCATCGACCACCTGGAGCTACTGGACATTGTGGAGGTCAGTGTCTCTGCCCAGGGGTTCCAGACACCTGGAAGCCTGAGCACTGCTGGGCTCTGAGGGCTGCCTGGGAGGAGAGCTGGTGCTTGAGGGCTGAGGGATAGAGAAACCATTCAGAGTGTTTTCTGACCACAGTGTAATTAAACTAGAAGTCAGTTACAGAAAGAAAATCCCCATCTGCTTGGGAATTAGGCAGTATATTCTTAAACATCCCGTGACTCAGAGAAATTCTCTCCCACACACACAACCAGGAAAATAGTTGATACTGAAGTTTGCTCTACCCAAAAGTACAGCGTGCAGCTAAAGCAGGGTTTTCAGGGAAATTCATAGCCTTACAATTTACCTATTAGAAAGTAAGGAAGACTGACAATCAAGTGATCTGGGAAGCCATCTCAAGTCAATAAGGGAAAATAAGAGTTGCTAACTTAAACCTCAAGAAAGCAGAAGGAATAAAATAATAAAAAGCAGAAATTCATTATCTGGAAAACAAATCCACAAGAGAGAGAGAAAAGTCAACAAAATGTCAGATCACTTCTTTGAACAGATATAAAATTAACAGACAACTAGCAAAAAGGACCAAAGGAAGACAAGCACCTGGTCTACCTCAGATTCTGACACTTGTCCACGTTAACCTGCTCCACCTCCCCAGGTATATGACGATAGGAGGATTGTTAGCCCCATTGCCTCATAGAGACTCCGCAGGGTCGTACACCTAGGAAGTGTTGGTGCCTATCTGAACCCTTGAGGCTCCCCAACACCTGCATGGAGGTGGTTCCATTCTAAGAACAGAGGACCCTCTCCCATCTGTCTTCCTCTGTCCACGGAGCACGGTGCTTTCCCAGGGGTGGTTTCGTTTGGAGAGGAAACGGGTTTCCCCTCTAGTCCAGACCCTTGTCTCTAGCTCCCATCATTCTATTTTGCACACATGCACAAAGATGTTCTTCTCTGACTCTACATTAGGGTGTAGGCCGCTGGAATCTTGCCAGCTCTGAGCTATTTAATTGCAGTCCTTAATCATCCCTGATCAGAGCCTGTGGGGTTTTGGCGTTGATGCTCACAGGTGAGGCCAGGGGCTCCCCCGGGGGAATGAGGCTCATGGGACTCCAAGGGCACAGCCTTAGGACCAGTGCTCTTTGGGTTCGATCTGGATCCCGTGGTCCTGAGGTGAGCAACCTGGGGGACCAGCACTGGGAGGATTGTTGAGGGGCGGGAGTCGGGGGGCTTGCAGGGCTCCCCAGCTATGAGGCTGAGTTTTCTCTGGCAGGCAATCTACACGTTGAAGAAGGTCTGCCAGGTGGAGATGGAGGCCCAGGAGAGCCCGACGCTCACGCCCGAGGAGGTGGTGGACAGGATCTTCCTCCTGGTGGACGAGACTAGAGATGGTAAAGGAGTGGACATCTGTGGTGGGAGGGCTGCCCACTGGGAAGCACCCCCAGTTTCTGGCTGTGTGACCTCAGCCCAGACCCTCCACCTCCCAGCAACTAGCGTTCTCATCTGGGGGGTGGAGTGGACGGCATGAAATGACAGTGGCGTCACTGGCACATGACGTTTGTAGGCGTGTTTAAAACTCATGTGAGAGTTGCTGAGGGAGGCCAAGTGAGTGTGACAGGAGCTTTAGCGTGATAATTTGACCCCTTGACCTCAGTCGTCCTGCCTGGGACATAGGGATGATGACAGTGGTTGAGAGGAGTCAGTGGGATGATGCACGCACCTGTCAGCTGTAGGGGATATCTCGTATCCAATTGCTAGTGAACTGATTCTGACTCGTGGCGTGTGTTTCTCGGAGGTACAGTGCTCCACAGGGTTTCCATGGCTACCACCTTCCAGAGCCAGATTGCCAGGCACGTCTAAGCGGGTTCCACCTGGTAGCGTGTTGCTGGGAAGCCAACTGGTTAACCATTCGTGCCACCCAGGGACTTGGGCTCATCTCCCTGTAGCTCAGTGCCCAGTTCCAAGGCTGGACAGGGAGAACGTTGGCTCACAGCACATCCCCGAAGAACCCTCCAGTTCCTCGCAGCGCCACTCAGTTGACAAACTGGTTTGTGGAAGAGGTGTAGGTACGTCCCAGGGAGAGGAGGTTTCTCCTCCACCCACCTACCGCCCCTCCCCTCTTCCCGGGTGATGTTTCTCCTGTCCCGCTCCCAGGCCAGCTGTCTCTGGATGAGCTCCTGGACGGGCCAAGTGGGTGATGAGCATGCTGCCGATGGAGGTGAATCCCAGCACCTGGGTCTCTCAGCAGCGGAGGAGAAGCGCCATGTTCTGAGGGGTCACGCGAGCCCCATGACCCCCGGGGGCATCCCCAAACCTTTCAAGACTCAAAGCTCACTCAGGTTTGCAAGTAGTGCAGGGTCTGTGGCTCGGCCCCATCATCCCCACTCTGATCCTGGCTCAGGTCCTGCCCTTGTAAGGAGCTGAGTGAGGAGTGGGGGTGGGATAAAAATTACACCTTCCAAAGGCCCTAAGGAGTATTCATGGGAAGACCCTCGCCCCCTCCTACCCATGCCTCCTCCCAGGGTGTCTACAAGGGGAAATGCAGCAGGTGGAGCAGTGGGGTGTGCTGATGGGGGCTGTTTCCGCTCCGCCCGGGTACTTTCAAATCACAAGCCTCACCCTCAGTCTCCCCACCTTTGAATGGACTGTCCTGATCCCCAGTCCCAGACCTTTGAAGAATGGGGGAAACCATTTCTGGGCCAGGGGAGGAAACTGGGGCCCTATTGACCTGAGTTCTGGTCCAGGCTTTGCGCCCAACCAGGCTGGGACCCAATAGTGTTCACCTCTCCTTCCCCCACCCCCTCGGTCACCTCCCCTGCACCGTGAGCAGGCTGGATTAGAAGAGCAGCAGAATGATGCTTCTCCCGCGGTCTCATATGTCCACCCCTGTATGGAAACTGGATCAAAATGGAGCATGAAAATCGGCCCATGTGATAAGACCTCTAACACAAGCTAGCCGGCGGTTTCAGGCGCACCAGCGTGCCAGACGCACTGATGGTCCCTGAACTGGACGTGTAAAGCAACGCTGACCTAGCGCAGACTCACCGGGACACGGAGGTCCACTGCTGCCCTCGTCATTGTTCCTGGAGCCCCCCTGCTTGAAGGGCAGTGGCGAAGTCCCACCCCTGGGCTCCCCTTGGAGTCTGAGGCCCCTCGGTGGACACAAACTGAAAGCCAGTGCCCTGGGCCACTGTCACCCCTGAGAAATGATAGGAGATGGTTCCTGGGAGGTGGGGGAGGTTGACTGTTACTCAAACAGATATGTTTTTATATAGATATATCAAAAAATTAAAAACTGATCACAACCACATAACCACACACACACACCCCAGGGGACAAACACCATAAACCACGGGTGAAGGGAGACAGCGGTTGGTGTAAGATATGAAAATAATAATAATTTATAATTTATCAAGGGGCCACGGGGGAGGGGGGGGAATAAGAGGAGCTGGTACCAAGGGCTCAAATAGAAAGTAAATGTTTAGAAAATGATAGCAACCTATGTACAAATGTGCCTGATATAATGGATGTATGGATTGTTGTAAGAGCTGTAAATGATCTTTTAATAAAAACAACTGAACCTCATGGAACCTGCAGTTTCATGGGGGTGGTTGTCATATCGTTTCCTTTGAAAATTCATTTTCGGTTAAGAAAGAACTAGCTGATTAAAACACGGTGAGCTATCCGGCTGGACCGGAGGATGTGCACTGGCACAGATAGGAACCAGAGATACAGGGAATCCAGGACAGATGAACCCCCCAGGACCAGTGGAGAGAGTGGCGATACTGGGAGGGTGGAGGGAAAGTGAGGGAGAAAGGGGGAACCGATTACAAGGTCTACATATAACCTCCTCCCTGGGGGCAGACAGCGGAGAAGTGGGTGAAGGGAGACGTCGGATGGCGTAAGATATGACAAAATAATAATAATTTAAAAATAATAATTTATAACTTATCAAGGGCTGAGGGGAAGGGGGGCAATGGGGAGGGAGGGGGGAAATGAGCTGATACCAAGGGCTCAAGTAGAAAGCAGGTGTTTTGAGAATGATGATGGCGACATATGTACAAGTGTGCTTGACACAATTGATGTATGTATGGTGGTAAGAATTGTATGAGCCCCTAATAAAATGATAAAAACAACACGGTGAGATGAGGGTGATTCACAGCACCACACTGCGCATGGGACGACCGGTGCGATGGTACCTGTTTCATGACATGTCAGGTTACTAATAACCCGGCAGCATACAGAGGGGCCCCCGGTCATGAAGACGGCCCATGAATGAAGTTGGGAAATGTCCTAATGACAGACAGGTAGTCTCCTAACTCTGACCTTTGGGATGTCCCAAATTGCCAACTCTGGTGTTTGGGGTTTTTTTCCACCTGCCCCTGGCATTGACCTTCACCTTCCCTCCACGTCTGTGCCCAGGCACAGGTGGCCTTCCCAGCCTAGGGGGGGTCCAAGTGATGGGCGGGACAAGTGTGAGCAATACACACCCTGTCCTTCCTCCCACAGCGCCCTCTCCAGTCTCTCTTTTACTCTCCATCTACACCCTGCGCAGGAAGACCCTGAGCCCAGGAGAAAGAACTATTGAAAACACCCATCGCAGAGCCCCAGCCCCTGTCTCTCCAGGTTCCTGCAGCCCCCAGGCAGCTGTGATCCAGGGCACGTGTGGGGGAAGGTCAGATGCGCAGGCATTCCCTCCCCTGAAGGCAATCAGTTGCCAGACTGCTGTCTCATCCCACCATGGGTGGGCCTGCTCCCTGCCTCTGGGGACAACGGACAGGCTCCTGTAGGAGGGGTTTGCACCCTACTGATAATGGTTCCTATGGAGACCCAGAGACCACCCCCTAGACCACCCTCTCATTGCTGTGTAACCTATAGTGCAGCTCCTCCCTGTGACAGATGTCTCTACCTGTAATTAGTGGGCTGGCTTGCCCCCAAAAGGTATATAGGTGTGAGTCAGCAATATAGAACTCTCGGACTCTCGGCTCTGACTCTGAGCTCCTTGCTGCTCACTCCCTGGTCACTCCCCTCTCCCTTGTTCCCTTCCCCTCCTTCCCTTCCCCCTCTCTCCACGTGGACCACCAAGCTGGGCTGAGGTGAGCAATGCTATCATGTAATATGTCCAACTGCATTCTTGTAATATCTCTCATGCTCTCGATGACTTTAATATAATACTTATATATCCCAACCGTACAATTGTGCTTACTGAATCCGAGTAGTAGTAATAGGAGTATTAGCGGTGGGGGCTGGCCCCCCACACTCCCCCGCGTCATTTTTTAATTTAATACTACAGGCATGGTCCAGGATACCTGCCCCTTCAGGTAGAGACCACTGAGTGCCTGCCAAGTGTTCTTAAAGGGATGTGCCAACAACGGGGCGCGCCTCTACCCCATAACAGTCTACATTGTTTCCCAGCTGGTGTCCCGAGTGACTGCAGCAAGCAGGACTTGGGCAGCGAGACCAGAGGCAGGCCGGCCGGCCACTGGTCATGAGCAGTGAGTCTCACTTAGGTAGAGAACGGTCGGAATTAGCTAGGCTGCTGTAACAGAGAGAGAAAACACAAGGGTGGCTTTCAGAAACAGAAATTTATTTTCTCACGGATTGGGAAGCCAACAGTCTGAATTCAGGGCACTGGCTCTGGGCGAAGGTGGTCTCGGTGGGGTCTGGGGACGATCTCTGAAGGCCCTGGTTCCCGGGGTCCCCAGTGAGCTTCATCTCTCTCCATGTGGCATCTCTCCTCCCCGGCCTCTGCTGGCTTCTTGGTGCCTCATGGTCTTTTATATACCTCAAAGGGACTCACTGAAAGTACACCCTACATGGAGATGGCCCCTGGGCCTCACAGAAAACCCATTCCCCCCACATGGATTTGAACCACAGGTATAGGTCTCTAGGTATAGGCTTAGGATTTGCAATATAGATTCAGGTGCTTCAAAAATCATGCGGAAAAATAGAATTCAAAGATCATGAGATTGTGCACGTCTTTTTTAACATACGTAAACCATTGACTTGTAAGGGGAAAAAACTTCTGATATTAAATACATTTCCTTTTTAATAAATCATTTCTAACTTTTTTTTTAAGAGAGAAAAATTCCCACAAACTTTTTGAAGTGCCTTCGTATTTGGGCCCAGGAGACGTGTGTTGGCGGAGAGAGGGGACACGAAGGGATCCACAAGAGGAGATGTCAACACCGAGGGGTCGCCCCGAGAATAGGACGGGCAGGTGGAGTCAGCTCTCCCAGTAACTGGAGGACTTCCCACGTCCCGACCCCTCCTCCTCCCACTGTCTGGCCCATCACGAACATGAGCAGGCCCTCCTGCAGAGTCTGCATGTGCGCGTGCGCACACGACAGCCAGGCGGTAGTGGGGATTCAAGCCTGCGCTAGTCCACCTTAGCCCCTTGATAGGATGATGAACTGATTGAAGGAACGCTTTTCTCCATTATGGGGTCCCTAGAAAGTGATCCCTAAAAATATCTCCAAAGTTTATAAAATTCTAACGCCCCAATTTACACCTAAGGAGCCCCCGGGGACAGAGTGGGTTCTGCTTTGCACAGGTTAGCAGTTCGAAACCACCAGCAAAGATTTGCAGGCTCAAAACCCCACGGGGGGGTGGGGGTGGGGGGGTGGGGGGGCAGTTCTACTCTGTCGCATAGGGTCGCTATGAGTCAGAATTAACCGGATGGCAATTGATTTTGGGGTTCTGAATTTACACCTAAAGGAAGCTCCTCCCCACCCCCATCACACAGCCCCCCATATGCACTCCCATACAGCACACAGAATGCACCCCAACCTCCCCCTCCCATCATCCTCTCCAGGTGGGACCTCACCAACTCTTCTTTCAGGGTCAAAGTCAGGGGTCACCTGTGAGGAGCCACGTCTGAGGCAGGCCCCTCACAGGCCCTGGCCACACCTCTAGGAGTCTATTTTATTATAAGGAGGTTTGTCTGTGTTGCTTCCCTGAGGAGTGACGTCTGTCCTTTTCACCGCAGTACAGCCAGCATCTAGCAAGGGGACAGGGCAGGTGCTCAACTTCCTGTTGAAAGGAGAAATGAGTCAACAGAACCACAGGCCAGGACCCCTGGGGTCGGGCGCCCCTGGGGCCGAGGCCGGTGCCATTGCAGAAGAGAACAGGAGCCTGGGCCCCAAGTCCCCAAAAGCCCAGCCGAGTTTCGGGGTCTCTAAGTGCTGGGAACAGGGCACCTTCAGTGGGGAAGGCTGGGTGGGGTGGGTGCGAGGGAGAGACAACCCCACCAGCCACGGGGACCCTGCCCATGCCCTGCGCTCCCATTGCTGCCCCTCTGATGCCACCCCCCACCCCCGTGTGCCCCAAGGAGGCAGGCTGAGCCTCTGAGCGCAGTAGAGTCTGTCTAGGGTGCAAACCACAGCGTCTCCAGCACACGGCCCCTCCCACGACCCCCACCGGGAAGCAGCTCACCCGCGGCCTCGGCCTGGTCCTCGGGCTGCCCGCCGCCGCTCTGGAGCCGGCGCACGATGCGCGTGAGGTCCAGGCTGCGCGTCAGGGTGTCCAAGAGCATGCGGTCCTTCTGCACGCCCTCCATGAACTCCTCCAGCGAGAGCTCGCCTGCGCCCGCGAGAAAGGGAGTCATGGGCTGGCGCCGGCCCTCCGCGGGACCAGAGAGCCTCATTAGTCCCCCAGGGTGGGGCTGGAGGATCTGAACCACGGACTTCGCGCTTAGCGACCCCACACTTACCTCACTGAGCCACCAGCGCTCCCCTAAGTCTTTTCCCAGGTTAAGTCCTCAAACCCACTGCCGTGGAATCAATTCCGACTCACAGGCACCCTGTCTATAGGACAGGGCAGAACTGCCCCTGGGGAGTTCCGAGCCGGAGTCTCAGGAGTAGAAAGCCTCGTATTTCCCCCGCGGATCTGCTGGTGGTTTCAAACTGCTGACCTTGCAGCCCAACGAGTTACGCGCTACACCACCACCGGGCTCCTTGTCTTGGGGTCCCTAGAAGCCAACTTTACGGTGGGGCAGAGGCAAACGGACACCTGATCCGCAGAGGCACTTGTGTCCCTCCTCCCCTCCCGCCCAGGTGCCCCGCCCCCAGGTGCGCGACATCCCTGGCTACCGACTTGGGGTGCTCACCATCGCCGTTGATGTCGATCTTGGTGAACACGAGGTCTGTGAACTCCTCCGCGGTCATGGTGGAATCGCTGCAGGGGTTGATGGCTCGGATGGCCTAGGACCGAGCAGAGGCAGAATGGAGGGGACACCTCTTCCTGGTGTGGGGGCAACAGCAGGGGAGCAGAGGGCCCAGGTGTCCCGGGCCTTGAACAGAGCGGAGGTGCTACATTGCTTAGTGTAGGTAAGCAAAGAGGCCCCGGGGGAAGGGTCAGAGGTGCCACTGGGACCCCCAGACCTATCTGTGAGGCTGAAGACCCAGCACCCACTCTCACCTGGAGCAGCAGCTCCCCTGCCCCCCACCCCTCTGCACCTGGAGTTACCCTCTGCACCTGGAGTTACCCTGCACCTGGAGTTACCCTGATGATGGTGAGCAGCTCATCACGGTCGATGCATCCATTGCCATCCACGTCGTAGAGCTTGAAATACCAGCGCAGCTTCTGTTCCACCTTCCCCTTGAGCACCAGGCTCAGCGCGGCCACGTATTCCATGAAGTCGATGTAGCCATCCTGGGTCGGGGCGTGGTCTCCATGAGCCCCACCTCAAACCCCGCCCACAGCCCTCCAAGCCCCGCCCCACTCAGCCCCCGCCCCCTCTCTTTTTCCCTCTTTTGTGAGCCCCTCTGGGCATGCAACTCATACTCATCTGTAAAGAGGACGACACAGGAGATCATGAACGAGGAGTCCTGGTGGTGCAGTGGTTACGAGTTGGGCTGCGAGATGAATGGTCCGCAGTTTGAAACCAGCAGCAACTTCATCGGAGAAAGATTGGACTTTCTACTCCCATCACTAATTGCATCTCGGAAGCACAGGGAGTCACTATGAGTCAGCATTGACTCTCTGGGCATGAGTTTTGGTTTGGGGAAGATATAGCCGATGGTGGGAGTCAGCCGGTACACACCAGTTAACAGAACCCACACCTACTTTTCAGTGAAGTCGGGCTCACCAGTTGTGAAAATGGCACTTGTAATTAGGGTTTTCGAAATCACAAATTGATATTCCTTCCTCTTTGGTAATGTTCATCTATGTAACAGCATACTCTAAGCACCCATAGTAATGTTCATTCAGTCCATAAACATAAAAAAATTAGAACTATGCTTGTAATAAAAGTGAAGAATATTGCAAGTGAGGATGCCCATCAAGAAGCAATATGGAAATAGCTCAAATAACACTTTTGTTGTTTTTTAGTCAGATATTATTTTTTACATTTTTTTCATTAACATGTTAAAACTCTTGAACCAATAGTAATGATTGACATACAACCTTCCCCCACCCCCAGGGGGACGAACAACAGAAACGTGGGTGAAGGGAGACAGCAGATGGTATAAAACAGGGGTCCTCAAACTACGGCTCGAGGGCCACATGTGGCCCGCTGGCGTTTCCTCGGTGATAATACGATGGGGGCAGACAGCCACAGCTTTGTTCAGCGGCCGAGCAGAGTTTGAACTGCTCACCATCCTTTAGTGGCCAAGCCCTTCAACCACTGCTCACCAGGGCTCCCTTGCTGTGGGGCCAAAAACCCAGAACGAAATTCACTGCCCTTGAGTCTGACGCACAGCATCCCTATACGGGAGTGGAAAGCTTCACCTCTCTCCTGCAATGCAGCTGGTGGTTTTGAACTGCTGGCCTGGGGTTAGCAGCCCAATGGGTAATCCACAACACCATCAAGGCTTCCTTTCTGGTGGGGACAGGGCCCCCTAACTGTTCCCTGGGCCACTATTCTTCCCCAGCCCTGCAGCTCTGCCCAGGGGCCCGCGTGAGGCTGGGAGAGAGGAGCCTTGACCTGCAGA